ATTCTCTTCATTCTATCTGACAGTTAACTCATGTTTGGATTAAAACATGGAGGAGTGAGAGAAAACTCTATGCCCTTAAATGCAGCAAAATTATTTATTTAATTTATATCCCACCTTTCCCCCCCATACAGGAGAAAGTTGCCAAATTACAGAAACTATATAATTTCCTGCTTACATCAACTCTACTAGCTCTCAGTCTGTTTTCAGGCACAATTCAAAGTGCTGGCTATGACCTATAAAGTCCTATATGGCTTAGGACCTTTGCAGACTGCCAGAAATAGTGCAAACTGAGTCCACTTTAAGGGTTAAGGTTAGTGCTAGGGAATCATGGGAATTGTTTTTTTTACTGAGACATTGAGCTTTCTCTGTCAGAGAGCTCTGGTGCCACAATAAAATACAGTTCCCATGATTCCCTAACTCTAACCCTTAAAGTGGACTCAATATGCACTATTTCTAGCAGTCTGCAACAGCCCTTAGTTCTAGGGCTGTCTAACAGATATTATCTCTAGCCATGAGCCTACCTGGACCATGAGATCCTCAGGAAAGGTCTTTCTCTCAGTATGACTACCTTCACAGGCATAACTAACTGGTGGGGATGCAAGATAGGGCCTCCTTGATGACTGCCTTAGGCTATGGATCTGGAACGGTCTCTTCTTCAAGTCCTTCTGTTTCCAGTCAAAACTTTTTTTAAGCCAACAGGTTTTTGATAACAGTTTTTTTTAAAGGCTTTTAGGAAGATGTGTGTCCAAGGTGAGTCTGCTTCCACTGAATGAGGACCCATAGACAGAATTGGATGAGGAATGGCCACAACTATTAGCTGGCATATGTAGGAGATTGGATCTGGGCATCGGCCAGCTCACCCGTTGACTGATGAGATCAATCTCTGGCCTCCACTGGAAGTGGTGCAATGGGAACTCACCCAAACAAGACTCCTTCCAATGAGAACTCCTATGCCTCCCTTTGGTGTGTGGTCAAGAAATGCGTAAGCCCCCCACCTGGGTTAGCCATTTCAGCCCCACCCAGTTACATAAAAAGACCCTTGTTAGTACCATTTCCAGGGTACCACAACCTTCCCAGATCCCAAGACTATGATCTACCCTGCATGGTTGTGACAAAACATGCAAAAGAAGAATACAAACTCCCAAATGAACCCAGAACCCAGAGTGGGCTGGAGCTCCCAGAGAACTGGCTTAGCTGTCTAGGAACATTGCAATTTATGCCACTCCAACCGATCAGAATGAACACTGAAAGGTTGCAGTCTTCCAACAGCCATGGGAGACATGCAGCCAAAGTTCCCCACCCTGGACCGCAACCTTTGGCCATGGGTAAGTCCTGCAGCCCCATTTTGTATAGTTTTAATTGCACTGTTCTTTTAAAATGCTTTTTATCATTTTAACTGTATGCTTTCAATTAAATTTAAATTTGTTAGTGCATCAGAAAGTGCTTTAATATTTTCTAGCCCCTCCCTTTAAAATTTATTTCTGAATGAATTATGGCAGAGGCCCCCTTTTGCTTTGAGGAAGCCCCCATTTGGAATTTTACATTGAACTCAGCACTGAAAGTTGAATGACAAAATCTCTCTGTCAAATTTCAAAGCATTTAGCATGATATCTCAATGAGTTATGGTTGCTATTGAAACTCAAGACATTCTTCCCCTATATTTATGTATCTTATAGTGATGTAATTTCCCTCCCTTTGGACTTTTATCATCTTTCTTTTAGCTTTGTGATTCTGTACAATGCATTACTTGCCAAGGCATATGGCTGATACAAATAAAGAGATTTGATTTTACTTTTTAAAGGCTTCAACAATCAGAACCTGGAAAGAATCTTCCAGTCAGATTCTTGACTAAGGCTGCATCTTCACTGTAGAAATAATCTGGTTTGACACCACTTTAACTGCCATGGCTCCATGCTATGGAATTCTGAGAACTGTAGTTTGTCATGGCACCAAAGCAGAGCCACAGCGAGGAGATAAACAAGCAGCCTGACATCGTAGAAGACAGTTTTATTATATTACTACTTTGGGCAGGCAGTAAATCTATTTTGCTCAGTTTCTGGTGTAAATTGTGGTGTAATTTGGCTCCTAAGTAGGCAGATATAACTTGGCACAAAATCATTGGTTGTTTTGTGGCATATCAAAGGGCTATCATTTTACAAAGCTAGGTACAAAATTGTCCAAAGCAAAGGAAAATATTTGACAACCACAATATTTTAAGAAAAATAAGAGAAATGACTCCAGTCTTCACATTTCTCTTCAGAGCTGTCAATATGTTTTTAATTTTAGGTCACGCTGGAACTGGACATCAAAAACGTGCTTCTGATTTTGAAATTTACTGAGCGATTTTGGAGATTTTTCATCAAAATGATGTGGTTTTTCTCCCAGCCACTTCGGTTTCAGAGACACACAGAGAGCTCAAACGATACCAAGGAGGAAAAAATATAATGCAAACTGTAAGTGAAGTGTGGTTCCCTGGTGATTTTACACTGGCATTCTAAAAGGTGCAACTACCTAATAATGCTCCAAAATGAGCCTCTGCTTCCTATTGTGGCTTCAAAACAGTTTAACACAACACTTTATATAATACATTATACACTGAAATTAACAGGAAGAGGACACACCAGCATTTTGGATTTCTCTTTTAAAAAGAAAAAGCTTTCCAGAGTCAATGCAGCATGCTTAAGAGGTGACGTAAGTGCTGGCAATGTTAAAGCAACCCAGCTGTTGAAATGGGGATTTATTGAACAAATATATCTCCCAGCAGTAACCGGTCTCTTTCACCTGAGGTCACTTAGGCTTTTACCTTGTCATAGCTTATTGAAAAGGTCTAAATCTGCAATCAGTCACTGAAGCAACAATTTACCAGAAGTGAAAAGCAGAGTGGGGGAAACATACACAAACCACAGACATGTATGCACAAGCAAGTTTGTTGTTTTCTGTCTTTGAAAACTGTGACACACCAAGGCTTTCCTATCATAAATTTCCAATGCCTCCTTTCTTCTTTTGGTATGATGTATAAACTGATCCAAGGAGTTCAACACACGGGGGAAACTGGGAGTTTAAACAATGATTAACCAATGAAATCATGCAATTGACATTAAAACATGCTCAAAATGTCATTAATGCAAGTGCCATTATCCCATGAAGAAGCAGGAAATAACCAGGCAAGAAACAGCAAAAAGTCATTCATGGGAAAATTCTGTGAATAAGTTACTGTTGTTTCTTGCCTGGTTCTTCACGGGATAATGGAACTTTAATCACATTTCATCTCAACATCATTGAGAATGTGAAAACTATTCTTGCATTTGCGTGCAAGTGCGCCTTAATCACAGATTCTGCACAGGATGCTTTGCATGCTGACATCATGTGAAAACCATTTGAGCAAGTGCGGATTAATCACAGGTTAATCACCGTTTATACTTCCAATTTTCCCCCATGTGATAATCTCCATTATGTAATACACATTTCCAGATCATGATGTGTTTCTTCTAGCTGGAGAAATGGTTGAGTTTTGCATGTGGAATCAAGCAATTACTAGCTAAGGTAGTCTCTTCAGAATTTTGATTATGGATAGCACTATATAACTTTTTCATGAAAATATATATAAAGTATATATATATATATATATATATATATATATATATATAAAGAAGAAAGGACTTCTTTAAATTATAAGTAACCTTATTCATATGTAGTAAATTACTGACTGAGGGGGCTACCTGAGGACATACTAAATTGAGGAAGCTGTGGCCTGAATCCTATTATTAGTCTTAAGCCAAGTAGCCACTGTGCAATTTACATATCAATATTTTAAATACAGAAATACATTAATAGTGGGGTTTGTGATGATTCTGTACCTTCACTGTGAAAAAAGAGATGATGATGGTTAAGGCTATGGGGTAGTCCAAATCAATATAGAATGTGATGATAACACAACACCCACATTGCCAAAATGTAGGTTCAACAAAACATTTGCAAGTCATTCCAGAGGAGAGGGCAGAGTGCACTTAGATCTCTGTTACTGAAAGCATTCATCTTACTGGTCTATATTACTTATGTTTAGACCATTTGAAGGACTGTGGGCCTCGGCAGACGACTAATTGAGTCATCTCCGAGGCCAGGAAGAGGAGGGGCCACCGCACGCGCGGCGGCCCTTCCTCTTCCTGAGGTTGCCCTGAACGCTTCCGGGCCACTGGATGCCCGGCGCGTTCAGGGCGACCTCCTCCCACAGCGTCCGGATGCGCTGCGGGGGATAAGTCAGAGAAAGGGCGCCCGCTGCTTTTAGGGCACCCTTTCTCTGACTTATGAAAGGAGTGCCTTTTTGGCGCTCCTTTCAGGGTCGCTCTAGGAGCGCCGCGGTGGGGCTGCCATAGCCCCGCGGCGCTCCGGACCAGGGCGTCCCAAACGCCCTGGTCTGCAGAGGGGGTTTATCTTCCTATACAAGCATATTAAGGCTGTAAATTCTTCAGGGATCCATTCTTCTTAGTTCCCAACACCTTTGTAGGTTTATCAAGAATGTGAACCTTCTTAGTGACTGCTCCCAAGCTTTGAAACTCCCTCCCTAAAGAGGTTAGGATGGTTCACACCTTATTATCTTCCACCAAGAAGTCCCCTCCCCCCATTCTTAGACTTTTAGGAAATGACTGAAAGGGCTTTTCAACAGTGTACTGTTTTACTGACTTTTATGTCTATCTCTTGTCCTTACTGCCTTGCTTCCCAAGCCCACATTAGTGATGGAGTCATGCTCTTTGCTTCCAGATGGATCTGTTCAGGGCTGCTCTTTGTGCATTTTGAGCAAAGAGGCCCACTGCACTTTGGTGCCATTACAACTATCACACTACACTGTTGCTATGGTTGCCACCTGTGAAATGTTGGGATTTGCAGTTTATTGTTGTTGTGTACCTTCAAATTGGTTCTAACTTATGAAGTTGGGTTTCCTTGGCAAGATTTATTCAAAGGAGGGTGCCATTGCCTTCCCCTGGGGCTGAGGGCATGTGAGTTGCCCAAGCAGGGAATCAAACCCTGGTCTTCAGAGTCAATAGTCCAACACTCAAACCATTATGCTACGTTTGCAGTTTAAGAAGGGATATTATGACTTCTCAGCCAGAGAGCACCAGTGCCTCACCAAACTACACATCTCAGAATTCCACAGGAGACAGCCACATCACTTAAAGTAAAATAATAGTGCTATAGCAATATAGTGTGATATTTGGTAGACTGACCAATATTTTGCAGACTGACACCACAATTCAAAAAGGATATTGACAAGCTGTAGCACGTCCAGAGGAGGGCAACAAAAATGGTGAGAGGTTAATTAAAGAAATTAAAAACCACGATCAAATTCAAGGGACCAAAATTAAAAAGTTCACTTATAAAATATGGGCATTTGCCAATGATATTGTTATATTTTTGGATAATCCATGTAATGGGTGGCCAAATTGATGGAGGTAATTGAAAATTTTGGTGAGATAACAGGATGCAAAATAAATAAAAGTAAATCGGTAATCCTAACAAAAAATATGACTAAAGAAGAGGAAAAAGTACTAAGTGGGAAATCAGGCATAAGAAAATAAAATATTTGGGGATCACAATTACAGGGAAAACATTAGAACTTTTTGACAATAATTATAAAAACTGGAAAGATATTAAAAAAAAGATGAACTCATCAGATAAAAAACAATTATATTTGTCAGGTCAAATAGCAACTTCTAAGATGTTAATTTTACCAAAAATGTTATTTCTTTTTCAAATGCTGCCCATAGTAGTTAAAGACAATTTTTTTAAAATCTGGCACAGAGACACCAGCAGGTTCATATGGCAGAACAAAAGACCGAAAATCCGACTTAAACTAATGCAAGATGCCAAGGAGTGAGGAGGTATGGGGGTCCCAAACTTACAGCTATACTTTGAGGTGTGTTGCCTCATGTGGATAAAAGATTGGATAATTTTGGACAATGAAGAACTACTGGAACTAGAAGGTAATGGTCTTCACTATGGGTGGCATGCATTTCTTGGATATGATAAAATTAAGGCCAATAAGAATTTTAACAATCATTGTATAAGGCACTCAATGATTAAAATTTGGAATAAATAGAAAGCAAGGCTTATGCCGAAATTTCCCCTTTGGTTTTCACCACAGGAGGCACTCCAGAGGAAAGAAATGAATCACATTAGGAGATGGTTAATATATGAAAACCTAATATCTAAAGATGGGGAAGGAAATTTAAAAGTAAAAACAAGGGAAGAATTAAATATAGATGGTTACAACTTGGACTGGTTCAGGTATAGACAAATTGTGGAAAGAACTAAAATGGACATTAAATATCAAGGGATAGAACCAAAATCAAAAGAAATAGATAATATATGGATAGGTGAAAATAAGAAATGGATTGGGGCTTTTTACAAGATTCTATTACAGTGGGACCTAGAAGATGAGAATATTAAGGAATGCATGATTAAGTGGGCACAAAATTTTGAGTACCCAATCGAATTAAGTATGTGTCTGGAATAAAAGACTAAAATATACTATGTCACAAAGTCTCAAAGAAAATTTTTAAAGTGTATTTCAGGTGGTATTTGACTCCGGATAGAATATCGAGAATATATAAACAAAAAACAACAACAAAAAAAAACTGTTGTTGGAAATGTGAAAAAGAACCAGGGACACTATATCACTGTCTTTGGACTTGTAAAATAGTGAAGAAAAAAATTGGTTAAAGGTAAACGAAATTATTAAAGACATGCTTAGTATAAACATTCGGGCTCGTCCAGAGATATATCTGCTAAACATGTGGGATGAAAAGTTAGACAAAGAATATGGGGAAATCCTTTTTTATTTAATTGCCATGGCAAAAATAATCTTGACACAAAAATGGAAAACTAAAAATGTCCCAAGTATTAAAGAATGGATAATCAAACTTTATGAAGCGATCGAGATGGACAATCTTACAAAATGTTTAAAATCAGAAATAATTAGTGAAGAAGAAAACATTTGGAAACCGATTTTGCTATATTTGGAGGACAAATGGGATAGTATAGCAACTTTAAAAGGTTTGATGGGATAAAAACAGCAAACAAGGAAGGAAGATAAAAAAAATTTTTTTGCAAGTTATCTCAGCTGTGATTTCTGATGAAGTTT